ATATTAGTACCTAAAATGTACATATCACCACCTGAAAAGTACATATTAGCACCTGAAATGTACATATTAGCACATAAAATGGACATATTAGCACCTGAAATGTAAATATTCGCACCTAAAATGTACATAATAGCACCTGAAATGTACATATTAGCACCTGAAATGTACATTTTAGCACCTGAAATGTAAATATTAGCACCTGAAATGTAAATATTAGCACCTAAAACGTACATATTAGCACCTGAAATGGACAAAAGTTTACCTTTTGAAAAGGTACAGCCCCAGTGACAGCTTTTGTACCATTTTTTCTGAGAGTGCATGAATGCAGACTGTTATAGCCTCAAAAGTTTTATTGCATTTTAAAATGTCCGAGGGCAATTCATAATGCAGCATAATAATTATTTGTGCATTATTTGCTACAAGAGGCGCTGGAGATATTAGTAGTGTAATCATTAGTCATTAGTAGTGTCTTCTTCTACTATCAGTTTTCTCTTTAGTCAACATGCTTATATTTAATAACATAATAAACAATCTGTTTTAAATGGATAGTTCACCCAAAAATGATAATTCTGTCATCATTTACTCATCATATACATTAGTTTTTCCAAATCTTTATACATTACTTTGTTCAGCTGAACACAAAGGAAGATATTTTGAAGAATGTTTCCATAGGAAAACTAGGCCTGAGATCAAACATTCTTCAAAATATCTTCATAATAACAGCTAAATAATCTGGTTTAATGTCTCTGATATTCAAAAAAGAGATTTGTCTCTGTTTATTGAGTTTAACATTCTTAAAACTGCTGTATTTCTTAAATGTAGTAGATTGGTGACAGAAATGGAGCCTTTAGAAATCATCCTAATATACTGATTTGATGCTCAAGAAACATTTATTTTAAATGGTTATTTGCACATTATATTGAGAAAACAGACATTAAAAATAAAGCTTCATCAAACTTTTAAAGAACTCTTTTTAATGCCAGAAAGGATATCAGGATAAATATCTTAAAGGTGCAGTGTGTAATATTTAGGAGGATCTGTTGACAAAAATGCAATATCATATACATAACTGTGCTGTATAAAGACCTTACATAATGAAATGTTATGTTTTTATTACCTTAGAATGAGACATTTCTCTCTACACACATCGCGGGCGCGGGTCTCCTTACATCCATGTTTATCCTTACATCCATCCAGTGTTCTTCGTGTAAAGAAGCTGCTAAAGTCAGCGAATGAAACACTGACACAATGATGGACAAAATAATATTCACAATAATATATCGTTTCACTGAATAATCAAGTAAACCCAATTTCTTAATTTATCTTGCTTAACTGGCTACTCTCTGATCTCTCAGACGATGACATCACTTCCTCTCGGCCACCGTAACTTCTGTTGGGTGCAATGCGCAACCTCACCACTAGATACCGCCAAAAATTACACACTGCACCTTTGAATGATTGCATACCGGTAATAATTTCATGTTTGATAGGTTAATTCACAGTGTTTTTTGTGATAAAGTGTATTTACAAGCTGCTAAATTCATGAAATGAAATTGCAACCCCTTTATGGTTCTATATATCAAGAATGTCAATCTGAATATATGAAAGTGTATTCATGCAGTTTGATCTAAAATGCTTTTAGAAGTCAACAGACCTCTCTCTGATCCGCAGGTATAATGTTGATGATGTAATGCGCTTTTTTTAAACTATGAAATCACAGGTGCTAATTGAACTCGCGCAGTGAAAAGACAGAGTTTCATATCCAGGAATGATGTGTAAAATGAACTCATAGCACTTCGTGAAAAGTGAAAGTTAACTGCAAAAGACTGAAATCCAGTTCAGTCCGTCAATCATTCTGCAAGTTTTGCACAGAAGCTTTTCACTTGAATATATTGAGACTGTTTAATTAGGAGAAACTTTTACAAAGCACATTTCCTCTTGAATGTCCCTTTATCACACAATATAAAGGACTGTTTGCTTTATTGTTCTGCTTTTCTTGCTCTGAGACAGAATTGACTTATCATTGCGGCATTGCATTTGTCTCTCTTCCTTTAAAAGATCATTTCATTTTCTGCTTTATGTAAACACTATAAAGCGATAGGCTACTTTGTGTTTTGGACAAAAGGGATTTGCTTTAAGTGGATGATTCGGCTCATATTTGAAATCGGAAAAGAATTAAATACAAAGTTGTCTTCTGTCACATATATGCAGAATACATTACGGCGAATTAGGCCAAAATATTAATTGAAACTTTCACAGAGAGTAAATTACTGACCATAAAAACAATAGGAGCAAAACCAACAGAATATTTCCTCACAAAGAATGAATAAAGAGTTCATATCATGTTCTTTCCTGTGACATATGTAAGTCAAATGCCACTATTAAGTTCAGCTCGTGTCTAAAATCTAAATTAAATTATTCATGCGTGTAACATACATAGCCTATTTATACCTGTGGAGTCATTGCTTTTATAAAGTGAAATATCATCTGACGTTGAAAAAGAACCACTTTCGTTTTTATTAATGACACAAGATTGGCGAATGTCATCTGTGCCTCTGAATGTTTAATTATACAGAGATTTGACTGTGTGTAATTAGTCTCACAGGGAGTCTGTGTCTCGTGTCTCATTCAGAGTTCAACAGCGCCTCCCAGTGTTAGACTCAGGACTGACACACACTTCAGCCTTAAATGAAAACTCTTACTTACTCAAATCATTCCAAACCCATATTTACTCTATTTTCTATTACTGAATAAGAGACAAACATGTACCAATTGTCTTTAAAGATGATTTATTTATCAAAACTTTTTATACAGGAAGAAACTGTCATATATTCCCAGCAATGAAACACCAGAGATGTCCAGTTTACTGTCGCTCTCCCCATCACAGGCCGAGGGGAATTAATCAAATATAGCCTTATAGAAATATGAGCACTTAGTGTACTTCATGTGTGAAAAGTGCAAAGAATATAATATTAATGAAATTAAGGGCAGAGAAGAGAGAACTAAACACACTTTTAAGAAAGTAAATTGTAATTTTAATTTGAAGTAGCCTACATTTTTTTTAATATCAGGCTATATTTTAATGTTTTGTGTTGCTTTAAAGAAGTGCACTTAGTGCTGCCTATGCTCAAATCCTTGATTATAATTGAACTGTAGTGTGACCCAAGTCCTACAGCAATTGTAAACAAATAAATAAATAAAAAGGTGTGTAAGCACTCCTGTTGAGAGTGTGCTAAAGAGTGTGTTACTGTAACTCTGTCATCCATTATAATTGTGTCTGACGAGATGAACAGACCCGTGAAGGTTAACCAATCGAAGATGTGTTTCTTTTGAAAACCACACAGTTGAGGTGATCCGAGAAAACACCCGACCCCATGAAATCAATGTGCTACACACACACACACACACACACACACACACACACACACACACACACACACACACACACACACACACACACACACACACACACACACACACACACACAATCAGAAGCAATGCAGTCACAGAGAGGAACACTAGTTCACTAAATACTGCACAGTGTGCCTACTATTAAAAAAATCACAGTATAAGAAAACAGTATATATTATCCCTGTATTTATGTAAGTGTTTGTTTGTTTGTTTGTTTGTTTAAGTGTGTATGTAAGTGTGTGTGTGTGTGTGTGTGTGTGTGTGTGTGTGTGTGTGTGTGTCTGTCTGTGTGAGTGTGTGTGTGTGATTAGAGGACCTGCTGACGAGGGACACTGTCATATCTGTACCTCTTGTTATGGGAATGATTGACTGTCACCATGGTAACACAGTCGGGAGATTCCCAGAAGGACAGGCGATCAGTTTCGGGAAGGAGTGAATGAAGGAGGTGCACGCCTTCATCTGGGTCTCTGCATATTATGCCAACATGTCACTTTTTTTATTTGAAGCCAGATACAGTGAATTTTTAGCAAGTCAGTAAAGAAGCAAAAAGATAAACATTTGGATCATAAAATATTATTCCATTAAATCTATGCAGAAATTAATATGCAATAAATGACATCAAAGCTCATTTTAGCTCATGTTTTGTTTTCACTTTTGCTGAAATATTTCAAATCAGATGCAGTAAAAGCAAATTATATGTGAATTAATGTATATAAGAATTACTGACATTTCTCTTTCTTTTATTTTCCACCTACTTTCAAAATATCTAAAACTAGATTATGTTCTTTGGGAAAGCACAACATTAATTGTGGGAAAACTCAAAAACAGTGTGATTAGTTTCACATTTTTGATCAGGCTTATTCTACCCGTCAATTTTATTGCACTTTTATTGTTTTATTTTACTTTTGTGACTTCAGTTTTTTTATGTAGCCTATTTGAGTTGGCGTTTTTTGTTTTGTTTTGTTTTTTTACTCTAATAATTAAGAATGAATAGGTGTATCCTGACTTTTTACAATATATTTACACACAAAAATGTTCAAGGACAATTTGTTATACAATAAATATGTAGTTGTGCCATCTAGCGTTTTTTTTTTACATAATACACTAGAAATACAACATAAACTAGGCTACTACAAAGGCAAACAAAGCAACAACAACAACAAAAAAAAGTCAAACAAAGAGTCTATTTAAGTCAAATTTGTTTTATGCAAATTCATTGTAAAATGAGTTGCAGTTCTTGGTCGGTTTCAGTCACCAGGTGGCGCACGTGTCTGTCTCAAACATTGTGAGGCGTCTAAAAATACTGCCTGATTGTTTTTACACGCTTGCTTTACATTACCAGAGAATGTCTAATAAAAGTAAGTTATTCATAGCATATTATGTTTTCATTAATGGTCGATGTATTTATTCAGAATTAGAGGTCTACAGAGAGATTCCCTTGAAATAGTTTTTTTTTTTTTTTTTTTACTATTTCCACGTTCATTTTAGTCTACTTTATAAATCATAATGGCCATGACAGGCAACAAGTGGATCATAGCGAGTAAAAATGTGGGTTGATTTTCACTCAGGCGCGTTCAGGTCAGACTCGTGGGGTCTTATGTAAGAGGCGCGCGCGAGGCGGAGCGTCATTCGGCAGCGGTGCGAGATGAAGTTATAGTTATGTTTATTGTCGAGTGATTTTAATGTTCTTTTTTGTTAATTAATGTCACTTCATGAGTTTATTTTGAGATTAAGCTTCACTTTATTCATAAGTAGCGACTCAGGAAGTAGAAGAGCACGGTAAATCGATCCGTGACCGGTTATTGATCATCATGCCGCCCATCGAGAAGGACGGGGGTCGCGAGCAGATCCGACAGAAAATCAAAGAACTGATCGATTCCAATCAAGTGATGGTGTTCAGCAAAAGCTACTGTCCTTTCTGCGTCAAGGTGAGTGGCAAGCCGTCATAAATATTATTAATATCTCCTCGAAACTGTCATGTCATTTAACGTTAAGAAGCTTTGTAAAAGAACCAAAGAGTGTACATAAGTTCTCAAGCTTATTTCTTAAAGGGACAGTTCACCTAAAAATACAATTCTTTCATCATTTACTCGGCATCAAGTTGTTCCAAACCTGTATGAACACAAACTAAGATATTTTGAGGAATTGTGGAAACCGAACAAGTTGATCGACCCCATTGACTAACAAGAAAGAGTCACATGATCCGTTCTTTCTTTCAAGATAAAAATTTGAGGGTGAGTCAATGATGACAGAAGTGTCATTTTTGGTTGAACTGTCTCTTTAATTTTGTTGAATCGGTTGAGTTTTCTCTGTTCTTTGAGAAGACAACTTTAATAAAGCTGTTTAATTATTATTTTCACGTTTTTTAAACTAGTTATAGACTAGTTTTGGGAGAAATTTGCTTGAAAATATCTCGCTAATCGTTATGGTAAATTAAATTGTTATAAAAATATTTATAATATTTAAACTTTGGATTTAATATTTCCATTTTATGTTGTACTAAAAGCTAAAAATGTATTTTATATAGTACTAAAAACAAAAATCAAAAGTTTGTCAATGTCGAGTTCATGTTTTTAGTAATCACAGCATTTATAATGTACAATGAGAAATCTAAAGACTAATGTCTATTTGACTTAAAAAAAAAACATTTAAAGGTCTGAGCTGTAATAAAACATTCTTAAAGTTTTAAATCTCTGCTGTAACCTAATCCATCAATATCGCTTTAAGGTAACTTCAAATGGTGGCAAATGAAATATCCAATTATGACTGATGTAGAAAAACCCTTTATCAAAGTAAGCGATACGATCCTGTGATTGTGTCGACTGAACCAGGCAAGTGTGTCGAAGTGCTGCGATGTTTCGCATTCATGAACAGACCGATCAGTGTTTTAAAATGCTGAGATTCTGTAGTAATTATTTTAAGAATGGTAGAGACTGTCTGGTTTTGTTCTGTAGATCATGTCTGATGATCTGACTCTGAGTCCAGAATAAACTACTTGTGGAACCAGAAATAAAACTGCAGGTTGGGAATGATTAGGGTAATAAATAGTTATAGATAACTCTGCTTTTACCACAACTTAAATTATTTTGCTCCTTTTGTATTTTTGTACATGACATAAGTACTTCACGGCTGACATGAGATTTCATGTAGTTTTTAATGCTGTCACACTGTACTGTATTCAAATGGATGTTTTTCCTCTGCTAAATGTTGTCGTGTTTGAAACACGAATCTTGTTGAATAATTAACATGTTGGGCTCTCTGTGATTTCAGGTGAAGGATCTCTTTAAAGAGCTGAATGTCAAGTACATCACCTTAGAGCTGGACCTGATGGGTGAGAACAATCACGGGATCATTTTTATTATTAATGCATGACTTTAATAATAATTCCTTTCCGAGAGTGAAATGAAATGCCAGGATGTGCCACTTACTGCCTTTTTTTTTTCTTTTTTCTTCTTCAGTCAGATTATTTTCATATGCACATACACTACCGGTCAAAAGTTTTAGATCGGTAAGATTTTTTGTGTTTTTAAAAGAAGTCTCTTCTGCTCACCAAGGCTGCAATTATTTGATAAAAAATACAAAAAATAAACAGTAATATTGTGAAATATTATTACAATTTAAAACCGTGGTTTTCTATGTGAATATATAGTGAAGTGTAAATTATTCCTGTGATCATTCCTGAATTTACAGCATCATTACTCCAGTCTTCAGTGTCGCATGATCCTACAGAAATTACTCTAATATGATGCTCAAGAAACATTTATGATTATTATCCATGTTGAAAACAGTTTTTTACATTTTTATTTTAATAGAAAGTTCAAAAGAACAGAATTGATCTGAAATGGAAAGCTTTTGTAACATTAATCACTACCATTCAAAAGTTTGAGGTCAGTAAGAATTTATTTCTTATTTTTGGGGGAAAGAAATTAGAAAATACTTTTATTCATCAAGGATGAGTTAAATTGATCAAAAGTTACAGTAAAGACATTTATAATGTTAGAAAATATTATATTTTAAATAAATGCTGTTCTTTTGAACTTTCTATTCATCATAGAATTTTTTGGGGGAAAAATGGTACACGACTGTTTTCAACATTGAAAATAATAATTTATGTTTTTGAGCATAAAATCAGCATATTAGAATGATTTCTGAAGGATCATGTGACACTGAAAACTGATGTGTAATGATGTTGAAAATTCAGCTTTCAAATTACATCTTTAAATATATTCAAATAGAAAACAGTCATTTTAAATTGTCTTAATATTTCACAATATTACGGTTTGTCTTTTTTTATTCATCAAATAAAGCAGCCTTGGTCAGCAGAAGAGACTTCATTTAAAAACATAAAAAAAAATCTTAAATAATCCGTAGTGTATATATTTATGTATAGAGCTCATTGTCTGTCAAACGTTTTTAATTTAAGAAACCTGTCTTGAGTATCTTTTTCTATTCTAAAATGGTAATACCTCAAATGTGGTTTTCACCATTAAAATAACCAAATACTCTGCCACGGAATTTAAAAAACAATCAAAACATATTTTTTTAACACGAAACTAAAGTTTTAGAATTAAAGAACAAAAAATACTAGAAAAAGAACTGTTTATTTTAGCATTTTTTGTGCCCTACTCTGCATTTATTTATCAGGACTATTCAACTTCAACAACATTTGAGCTGAACATTCAGTTGCATAACACTTTTTCCTGTAGTTCTTTCTGATAGGCAAGATAACTGAATATGCATGCTGCGATTATGTAATGTCCACGTTTAGGGTAACAGCAGTTTTACTACCTCATTGACAGAAGTGCTGAGATACTCGTGCATGTGTTCGCTGAACCTCTGAAGTTAATGTTTAAGCGTTCAGACCTGCTGAGTCACTCCAGCCAACTCGTCTTTCCTTATTTTCATTCACTCATTTGCACCGCCTTTATCTCGCTGTCCATGCACAGCTGTTCTGCTCATGTTCGTAGCATCACTGATAATGGATTTCCTTGCTGAAAGCCTTTAAACCTGATTAGCTGCTTTCGAAGCCAGACATTAGTGCCAGATCCGAACCCGATTCGATTATCCATCTTGGAGGGCCGCCCATGTGGTGTAGATGTGAAACGTGAGCGCTGAGATCCAGACTGATCGTGTCTGATGTGTTTTAGAGGACGGGACCAACTACCAGGAGTTGCTGCATGAGATAACCGGACAGAAAACCGTCCCCAGCGTCTTCATCAACAAGAAACACATCGGAGGCTGCGACAACACCATGAAGGTACTGACTCGGCATGTGTTCGACATATCAGAAAAAAAAAACTTTATTTTGTTTTTCTTCTTTGTTTGTATTGCGATATAATATTTGTATTTCCTGATAATGCCAAAAGTCTTGTGTTACCAGTAAAAAGTGTCCTACACGATTTTAAGTGCATCTAGGCAGTGAAACAGTGAAAGTATATTCGTCTAAAAATAATTCTATATTTTCAGGTTCAGAATCATGAATATTTTTATTCTGTCTCTATTGTCCTGTGCTTTGGGTTTCCAGCATCAAGTCCAAACCTATCCATTTACACGCACAATAATACCAAATTTAGCCTTTCAATCAACAGTACATTTTTTTGTTAATCTTTTCTCGTATGTCTTGGAGGATCGCAGTAAAATCGTATCAAATCGTGACCCCTAAAAACGATATTGTGCAGCCTTTGCTCGACAGTGAGTCTTACTCGGTCACGCTGGCCGGACTTTTGTCTCTTTTAATTATGTCTGCCGATTATTTATTCTATTCATGTAGACGAGGAACATCTGATTGACATGCGAAGCGACCGACCAGAGTGTGATTAGTTTGCTCTGAAAGTGTTTGTGAATGTCTGTACGAACCAAAGTTCACCGGAGAAATTAGTTTGGGTAATTTACAGACATAAAAATGATATTTCCTCAAGCAAGCTCTTTTTAAGATTAAAGATTTGATGGCATGAAAGCTTACGATAAATTCCCAAGCTGTTTAAACATTTGCTAAAAAGCATAAATCCTTGCACACGGTTCCAACTGTTTTCTGGAAGGGAACATGCAGTCAGTGTTTAGTGTGCAGTACACTGGGTTTTTTTATTTTTATGGTCATTAGTGACTGAGTTCAAGAACGTTCTGCTGCAGAATCGCCACACACACACACACCCTTTCATTTTAGCTGTAGTAGGAGAATAAGTATAAGTAATTAAACCATTTCTGTCCGTCCCACATGTCTGCTAGAAAATTGCTGTCATCATTGATTCAGGCCAGGACTTGCAGTTTCGTTGTAGAATGTGTTGGTTTCACTCCGAGACAAACTTCTCACTCATCAAATTTTGATTAATTAGCAATTATGCAACCATTGTTATTATTAGGCCTGGGGAATTTCATTAGACCTCCCGATATTATTTATCTATGTTATAACAATATCTAGCTTGCTATTTATTTATTTATTTATTTATTTCATTTAGCATTTTATTCATTAATTTAATTTCTGTTTTACAAACTAACACATACTTTTTATTTATTTAAAAAATATATAAATTATATAATAATAAATTAATGTCATTTAAGTCAAGTATTTTCCAACCATTGTTATTATTAGGCCTGGGGAATTTCCTTAGACCTCCCGATATTATTTATCTATATTATAACAATATCTAGTTTGCTATTTATTTATTTATTTATTTATTTCATTTAGCATTTTATTTATTATTTAATTTCTGTTTTACAAACTAACACATACTTTTTATTTATTTAAAAAAATATATACATATTATAAAAAATAACCGTTTAAGATAGTTTGATTTTATAATAAATTAATGTCATTTAAGTCAAGTATTTTTCAACTAAACTGCTTTAAAAAAAATACAAAAAGTGAAAAACAAATACATTATAAGTGCTTTCAGTGTATAAAGCACTGCAGGGCTCACGCTGTTATGAATTGTTTGATATTTCAACCTTAGGAATGACAACTGAGAAAATCGGCCTTGAACTGCTTCTGTAACATCACCTTGGTGGCTGTTAAATACATTTTTAGTTAGTAACATACATAAGTCTAAATGCACCATTTATTTGCATTGAAGCTTGCCATTTTTGAGGCTTTTTTATGCGTACTTTGATGCTTTATAGGACTGTGACGAATCCGATGGCAGTTTTATACCACCATGGTCAAGTTGACTAACACAGCTCTAGTTTTCAAATGTTATCACACTGATTTATTATTTGTTGAATATGTTGTTTTACCCCATCGGAGGTCTACTCGTAGGATCTACATATGAAATGTCTGATCAACAGTGCCTGTCTCATCACTAATGTATCTGTCTGTAGATCTGTCAGCTGTCTATAAAAGCCCTTTCTCAGTTGAGTGTTAAGCAGCTCTGTGGGAAAGTCCTTTGGTAATAGAGCTGAATAATGCACAAGTGCCTCTTCACAATGGCTCTTATCAGCATGTTTTTATGCTCTGATGATCGTCTGGTTGTTGTGGTAACAGGCACACAGTGATGGCGTCCTGCAGAAGCTGCTGGGTGAAGGGAGCGAGGCGTACGACTATGACCTCATCGTCATCGGCGGGGGTTCTGGCGGTCTGGCGTGTTCAAAGGCGAGTTAAATTACCCCGGGGCAGGAAGATCCTTCATCTGTAATGCTGTTTAAATACTGTATGTGTGTGTCAAGTCATTCGGGACACTGTCTTTTGAAACTAAGGCTCAAGTTGCATGAATTCACCCTGTATTAGACCTTAGTGTGTGTATATATACAAAATCATCATGAATACTCACTTGCACTGTAAATATATTGGTGGTACTACAAGTAAAGGCCTGATACAGAATTGAACTTGGAAATCTTCATGCAACTTTTTAAGGTTTTTTATACACGTCTCCTTCCTGCCCAAACAGGAAGCAGCTGCCTTGGGCAAGAAGGTCATGGTTCTGGATTATGTTGTTCCCACACCAAAGGGCACAACCTGGGGTAAGAAAATACCCGAATCAAACATTCTTAAGATATGATAGAGACGTATGATATGATGATGCGAGGTCTGTCTCCAGGTCTGGGCGGCACGTGTGTGAATGTGGGCTGTATTCCTAAGAAGCTGATGCATCAGACGGCATTGCTTGGCACGGCCATAGGAGACGCCCGCAAGTTCGGCTGGGAGTTCAGTGAGCAAGGTCAGTCGTAACATTCAACACGGCTGGGAATATGATGCACTGGCTCTGTGATCGGGATTGCACCACGTGATGTAATGCATTGCACTTAAAAAGTGCCTTTTTGATAATGTGCAGAGAGTTCTTCATGCATGAGTGGTTAAAGTAGTGATGCAATATTGTGTTTTCTGCTGTGAAGACATTTCAGTTTGCAAATGTATTTCCTCTTTCTCTGAAAGTTGATTAGCAATTTTATGGAACAATTTTAAGTGACCGCAAGCTTGTGAAAGACTATGAGGGTCCTCAGTTATATCTTTAATTAAAAGGATTATTAATGGGTGATTTAACACAAGAAAACTTCCTAAAACACACTGATAATTACAACATCTCAATGTGTCGTGAAGTTTTTGCTTTCAAGCATGTCCACTTTTTCTCTTAACCCTTGTGCATCCTTATGGACATTTTTGTCCTTTTCAGTTTTGTTTTTTTGATCACTTTGCCTGTGTTAAAGCTAACGGCAAAAAACTTGGCACAGGTGTGTATTTTTATTGGAATTTTACTATTTCACCGTCATTTTCTTAAAAAAAATATTTTTTGCATTAGGTACAAAGAATACTCCCTCTCAGCGCCTTTTGGACAAAAATGTCCCCATTAAAACTGCCATTTTTAATTTAATAACTATAAAATTATGCAATCTTTGTTAAGAGGCTTTCATTCTGATGGCAAGGCTTCAAAATTTGGAACACAACCTATTTGGTTAATGGCTTTGATTTTATTGCAGTTTTTGGTTCAACCTGATATTTAAAATGTATATTTTATATAAATTAATTTTTATAAATAATTTTCATAAACTTATACTTAAATAATTTTCATAAACTTATACCTATATAATTTTTGGGGGGATTTACTTATTATTATTATTTTACTTCAGCAATAATCTGCAAAGGGTCTTCTTTAAAATGATACCAAACTTAAGTCTGTGCTCCAAACGTCACATTTTTATGACAGTTTTTTGACATGGACATTTTTGTCCTCTTTTTACCTATGTGTAACTTTTTTTAATTGATGCACAAGGGTTAATGTAGATTTATTTTTGTTTCACTTTCTCATCAAATATCGTCTCTTTATTAAAGTGACTCACAACTGGGAGGCGATGAGGACTGCGGTGAATAACTACATCGGCTCATTGAACTGGGGCTACAGAGTTTCCCTACGAGACAAAAACGTCAATTACGTCAACGCCTACGCTGAGTTTGTGGAGCCGCACAAGATAAAGGCAAGTGTGTTCTTCACCACCCTTACGAAAAAGAAGTATATTTCAAGTTCATTTTATGTAGTATACTTAAGTAATGTTCAAGTATATTTTTAAGTATACATTATGTAGTAAGTATACTAATGTCACTATGTACTAGTAGTAAACTTGTAAGTGTACTATTTTAATACCGCTTGGGACTAAATTGGCCCACTTTTAGTACATAAAAGTATATGTTTAAGTGCACAACTAGTTCATAATTATGTATCTCATGTGTACTGCAAGTGAATTTTTGGGTATACTAGTAGTTTACTTTTTTACTTTAATATTTATACAAGTATACTTTGAATACTTAATTATACTTTTAAGTATTTCTAGATCAAAAGATTGAGTGCAAGAACAGGTCAAATATACTTGCTTTTCTCTCAGTATAAGTCAAGTACACTTAAGTGAGAAGTACAGGAAAAATAAACTGAAAGTATACTTTCTTATTTTTAGTTTAAAAGAAGTATACTAATGGCACACTTGAATAAACTTCTTTTTCGTAAGGGCATATTCACTAATAAATGCATTGAAATGCATGTAAAATGGACCAAAAGGAGAGCTGACTCCAATACAGGTCTAGATGCAATGTGAATGGATTCATTTCCACTTGAATTACATTTAGAGGATTAAAAAAAGGCATGAGTTTAAGTGTAAAGAAAAATGTGCCTTTATGACATTGGAGAGCTGTTTCTGTGTGTTTAAGGCTTTTCTTTTAGCTTTATTAAAATGCATAATACAGTTCAGATCACACTCACAGTATGTCTAAAGCTGCCCTCATCTTATTTTTTTGTTGACTCTTCCCGACAGGCCACCAACAAGCGTGGTAAAGAGACGTTCTACACCGCGGCTAGGTTTGTCCTGGCGACAGGAGAGCGGCCTCGTTACCTGGGCGTCCCGGGAGATAAAGAGTATTGCATCACAAGGTGAGACTGAGTTCACAGCGGTAAACCTCCTCTGGAGAGCTGGGTAAACGCAGCTGGACCTCAGGGGGTCGTTACAGGACTTATTTACAGCATTTATTGATGTAAAGCTGGTTCATGCTCAGTCGCTAAGGGAACAAAAGCTTCCACTGAATGACGTGTCAAATAAGAGGAGGATTTCCTTCTGGAGCTCTGATGTGAGTGGCATAAATGTGCAAAATGATCAACTTCGTGGTTCGTGTTGCTTATTTAAAAATGGCACGGTGTACATGATTGGCTCTATGATTTCTGTGAGGCGTATTAAAATTGCGGAATAGTCCTAGAAAATGCAATTGTGTAATGCAGAATGAAATCAATCAAATTTTGGATGAATAAATCAAAACTAGGACTGTGCGCTTAATCACTTGATACTTTTCAGTTTTGTTTGCCAAAAAATAAAACTAATTGTTTAATTTTCATTTTGACTTAGTAGGTTAAAAAATGTTTAATGTTTTATGCCTTCATTTGATTACCAGAGTTTGATAAATTTGTATTATATCATAAATCCAGAATTTTTTTTTTTAATAATAATTCCATAGTGTGTTGTTATTAAATGTGTATGATTATGATTTCTGTGACTCGTATAGAATCGTGGAATAGTCATAGACGAGGGAATTGTGTAAAGTGGGAATGTCCCAGAATTGGCCAAGTTTTGGATGTATAAATGATCTAGGACTGTGCATTTAACCAAATTGGGATCTGGAAAGTGTATACATATATAAAACAGCTCAATGTGCTGTGAATGGTCAAATACACACAAGCATGATGCTCATATTGTTTTCAGCAGGACTTTCAAAAGGATTTTTTTTTTTTTTCGTTTGAATTACATTTTAAAAGATTACATAAATTGTTAATGTTTTATGCCTTCATCTGAGGTTTGATTCTTTTGAATTAAAAAAAAAAATCATAAAATTATATATTCAGACAAATCAAATGTTATTTTATTATTTTAATAATAAAATATTTTATTATTAAATAAAATATTTAAGATTTTATTTTAATAATAAAATATTTTATTAAATAAAATATTTAAGATTTTATTTTAATAATAAAATTTTTTATTTAAAATATTTTTTATTTGTATTATAAATAAAATATATTATTTTATTATATATTATTTTATAAATGATCATATATTTTATTTGTCAAGGGTCTACGGATGAAAAATAGCTAATTCTGGCACGTTTACACTTGTTTATTAATGTGCATTGATTCTGTAAATAAATAAAATAAAACAAATTATTTTATTTTTAATTAATTGCTGTTAAATTCTAAGCTTCATCATTTCATTAAAGTCATGCTTTTTGTTTGTTAACATTTAACAGATTGCTTGCAGAGTCCAGAGAAATGTAAAGTAAAATAATAAATCCAGAAATATTAAAACAGAAAAAATGGAATTGAGTCCGTACGGTATGTGTGTGTGTGTGTGTGTGTGTGCTCTTTTATGACTCAGCTGAAATTTGCTGATGTTTATCCTTCTTTTATCTGATGAGGAAGTGAAGCGCAGGATTTGAGCCTTTGTGGTTTTGACCATATTGACTTTTCTCTTTGGACGCCTTTATAACGTTTACCTGTACATCTGAGCTTGTGTCTGCGTTGGAGGAAAACTTGATCCATCTGTCTTGTGCCCTCATGGGTTTTGTTCTTCGTTCTTCACAGTGATGACCTGTTTTCGTTGCCCTACTGTCCCGGGAAGACTCTGGTTGTCGGGGCGTCGTATGTGGCTCTGGAGTGTGGGGGTTTTCTGGCCGGCTTGGGGCTGGACGTGACCGTCATGGTTCGCTCCATTCTGCTTCGAGGATTCGACCAGGACATGGCCAACCGTGCGGGAGATTACATGGAGACGCACGGGGTCAAATTCCTCAGGAAGTTTGTCCCGACCAAGGTTGGTGCATGCGTGCGGTTAAACATTACTGAAATCTGTAATGATGCATTATCTATCGTAGCCGTGATTATGTAATGCTCATTATCATGGCATCTTTACGAGGTGATAAAACATCACAGGGATTTCTTTTTTCCTCAGATCGAGGAGCTGGAAGCTGGAACTCCGGGCCGACTCAAAGTCACGGCCAAATCAACCGAGAGTAACGAGATCTATGAAGGGGAATACAACACTGTGAGTGTCCTGCCTTTCTATTGGCCAAAATTTCACATATCATTACAGCCTGTTTTTATCTTGTCTGTCATCTTTGGCTCGGTTTCAAATCCGAGTGTCGTTTATTATTCAAACATTTTTCAAACATTTTACATTCTCTTCTCTGAAATGAACCCAGTGACTGTGAAATGTTAGTAGATAATTTCCATATAAATGTGGTGAACCTGCGACACATTTGCTTAAAAGTCATTGGGAAACATGAAAGGCCGGAAAAAGATTGTAGTTTCAGTTTAAAAGCAAGTATTTGTTCGTTCAAGTACTTCAATTTGACTTTTTAAAATGTAAGTCCTGGAAAACCCTTTAAATCAGCCATATATATGAAAATGTACTTAAAAAGCGTTTGAGTTATTGAAAGACAATGTATGTTTAGTGTTTAATTTTATCGATAAAACAATCTTTTCAAGCATAATGAATTGCAGTCCGTCTGATGCAGATATAGAGGCGTTTCTCATGACTGTGAGTGTGATATTGCTCATAAATATCAGACTATATGATGCAGATTTAATTCTTCAGATCAATCAAATATTCATGGAAATAAATCAGTTTGAGGAAAGGGATATCTCTGTCATCATATCCTTTCAATGGTTACGGTTCCACAGTCACTGCATCCGCTGCACTTAATTTGTACAATTTTGTTTGGTTGGTTTATTTTTGTTTTTCTATTTACCTTTTTTCAGATTTTGAAGGTAATAAAGATATTGTTTGATAAATGAGATCTTTAAAGTCATTGAAAACCAAAAAAGTAGTCCTGGAATTTAATTTTACAGTGCGTGTACGAACCCTAAAGCACTTGCATCAATTATTCAGTTTGACCCTACATGAGCGGTATAGTTGTCTAAGTGTGTGTGTGGTCTGACTACAGGTCAAGGGAAATGTAAATCATTCCTGTGAGTGGAGTTTGCGCCGTGTGAACAATGCTTTGCCTTAATATTATTTTGTTCATTAAAACGTATCAAACCAAGGCACCCGAGAGTTAATGTATATAAAAAGTAGGGCTGTCAATTTTATTTTGGATGCGATTAATCGTTTGTGTTTACATAATATATGTGGGTGCACTGTGTATAATTATTTTGTATATATATAAATACACACACATGCTTGTATATTTAAGAAAAAATAGTATTTATATATAAAATATTTATATTTATAATATATATAAATTATATATAAATCTATTTACAGTACATACATGAAAATATTTCTTAAATTATATACAAGCATGTATGTGTGTGTATATATATATATATATATGTGTGTGTGTGTGTGTGTATTTTTATATATATATATGAAGAGTTCAGATGCAAAAGCCTCTAAATGCCATTTGAAATTTTCTTCTTTAATGATGATTTTTGTCAAACTTGTATATTTAAGTTCAGTAATTTCACTTAAATAACAATTAATAGGTAATTATCATTGCCATTTAAGTGAAATCACTGAACTTAAATATACAAGCTTGATAAAAATGATCATTCTAGAAGAAAATTTCAAATGGCACTTAGAGGCTTTTGCATCTGAACTCTTTATATATATATATATATATATATATATATATACACACACAAAAATAATTAACTGCACACCTTTTAAGGTCCTTTAAAGCAGCGATTAGTTGGTCATGTGACAATCACCTGAGAATCACAATAGAGAATATCTCAAGACAAAATTATACTCCACGTATGTTCCAAAAAAAGATAACAATGCACTAAAGTGTGTAAGAACTGAATCAACAATGTATTCTAATAATAACTTTATTTTGTATTGTTTTTAGAAAAGAAAAAATAAATGTAAATAAAGATATTCATGAAATTGTTGTTTTGTAACAAAAGGCAAATTCACTTGTCAGCATTGTGACATTCCTTTCATGTTGCTAATGTGTGTGTGTGTGTGTGTGTGTGTGTCAGGTGTTGATCGCAGTGGGTCGTGACGCCTGTACAGGAAAGATCGGTCTGGACAAAGCTGGAGTTAAAGTCAATGCCAAGTATGTCTCTTTCTTTTGACTAGATTATTTTGGTCATGTGGCCTCATAGCTCCTCCCCCACAACCCATAAGACTCCTTGATGTCACGGTAGCATTTAAAGGGGCGGGGTCAGAGTGAGTAGGAGAGGCGGGGTCTGGAGTGTCATGGTGAATCAGCAGTATTTCCTCTGGGAGTGTGTCCAGCGTCTGACCTCGGTGACCCCGAGTGTGTTTACAGAACACACCACACACTGGGACGTAGACGGGCGGGACGAGTTAAGCAAAGTAAAACATGAGACAATGTATATTAATTCACACACAGACTGAAGTGTGTATGTGTGGTTTGAGGGATTAGTGCAGCACAGAGGTTTTAGATCCGTTCTCGAGCACAGTCATGTGATTCCATATGACCCACACACACATGACTGATGCACGGCTGTTTTATAGTCCATGGTTTCTCAGTTTTGTAATGTGCATTGTGTGTTGCATAAAATAAACTGTGTGGGATTTTAATATAGTGCATTTGTTACAGTAACTCTGACTTTTCTTAAATTGCAGAAGGGAAGTAATGATGATGATGTAATGTGGCTGATACATTATTACGAAGCATTTTTCATTTCTGTCCAAGATGTTTTATTTATCCTTTAACCCTTATGCTGCATTAGGGACATTTTTGGTCTTTTGCAGTTTCATTTCTTTGACCATTTTGGCTGTTTTAATGCAAATGTTTTGAAATTTGGCAAAATTGTGACTTTTTGGATGCATGTAAAAAATGTGATCCCATTTTGCAAAATATGTATAACACACACTGTGTAGATCAAATAGTAAGCACCATAAAGACCAAAAATGGCCCATTGAAACCCATTAAAACGTTGTTTAAATCTGAGGCTGTCAGTAATACATGAAACATGATTTTTGCACAAACATCCTTTCATTTTGAAGCAAAAGCATTATATTTGCATTATATAGTGTATTCCACCAGATGACGTCACTACATATTTATTCCCTATGGGTGGAAATGCACCTTATTTTAGGCAATAGGCAATGTTTAATAGGTGGCCATTTTTGGTCTCTAACGCGCTAAGTGGGATTTTTTGCAAAGTGGGACTGTGATAATCCAAATCTAAAGTTTTCTCTTTGCATTTAGTTTATTGAAAATAATTGAATTTTTGTGTTTTTTCCTCTTATACAAATCGATGGTTTCGCAAACAAAACTGGTAATTAAAGGGTTAAAATCCTGAAATTGAATACATTTTTGGTAGTTATGATGAGGACTGATGCTGGTTAAAAGATTTAACTTGGTAAAAGTGGAAAATAATAATAATATATAATATTTTAGGCAATGTTTAATATGTGGCCATTTTTGGTCCTTAATGCACTCAACGGTGTTAAAAATCTAATGCAGCACAAGGGTTAAACAAACAGATTTTTTAGTTATTGATTTTTAGGTCATTTAATAAAAATATCGAGTTTTGATGGTTTGAGCCAAGTGTGAAATATTCTTATATTGTGACTCATTCGTATGCCGTTCATGCACATACAGTCCAATAACAGTTGCTTTTGCTCCTCATTGAGTCACATAGTCTGTTCCTCCATCCAGGAATGGGAAGGTTCCCGTGAACGACGAGGAGCAGACTAATATTCCTCACATCTATGCGATTGGAGATATTCTGGAGGGAAAGTGGGAGCTCACGCCTGTGGCCATTCAGGCCGGGAAACTTCTGGCTCGACGACTGTACGCCGGATCCTCTTTAAAGGTCTGCCATACTCACAACCATCGCTGCCGTCTCCTGGGAGATTAAAGTCTTATGCCTGGTTCAGGTTACACCATTTTGGCACAATCCGTTTGACGTCGTGGGGATTCGGGCATTAGGACGCCATATTAATATTAGTGTTGTCAAAAAACTCAGTACTTCGGTACCAAGTCGGTACTAAAAAAAAAAAATGTTACGGTACCAGCTTTTCTAGGTACCGAGTACCAGGTTAATCCAGTTCTGTTCTAGACGCGATGTCTGAAACGTGCACAGTTGCGTCCTCTTTAACGCTGATATGGCTCTCTCTCTCTCTCTGAATCCACTTGTTGAAACGAAAGGAGGAAAGAGCCACATATGCAAATATTTTGGATTAGGCTAATGTCACGTTGCCATAAGAGGCCGATTACATGCAAATTCGCAATTTCAAATATAGGCGCGATTCAAGCGCGCTCATAATAAAAACTCGTTGGCGTTGCATAGCAACGACAGATGCCGCGTGAGAGCAAGCGCTTTGGAAAGAATAAGCACGCGCAAAAATATAATTAAAAAACACGCGCGACATGTGAACGGCCTCTAAAGTGCTTTCGGGGTAGTTTTACGAGTACATGAGCACAGTAGTATCCACCCGACACCAGAGTACTACTGGTATTAGTATTGTCATTTAATGTCAGTGCCAGTTCTAGGCGTATTCTTGCCTTTATAACTCAGCAGGTTTAAAAAGCCTTTTTAAAATAAAATATGAATGCAGTTTTAGATTAAATAAAAGGACAGTCAAGTCAAATAAAACATGTTTTATGGTAATGCTACAAAGATACCATTCATAAACATTACTCAGTTATCAACACATTGAGTGAAAAATATATTTTTACAACATTAATTAATGTTTGAAAATGTTATTTATTACAAACACCTGATTGTTCATGTTTGTTCACTTAATTCATTGTGCATTAAATAAATAATGGATTAAAACTTTACAAACAACTTTAAAAATGTGTTGGTGTATACTATTGTTTATTTTAGGTCATTTTATCTAATCTTTTTCTAAAGTGTTGATAATACAAATGTACAGTTTCCATACTTGTAACCGTGATAAACACTTAAATATATGTAGATTTAAACTAAGCTTTGGTACCGAAATTGGTACCGAGAACCGTGAATTTTAACTGGTATTGGTACCGAATACTGAAATTTTGGTACCGTGACAACACTAATTAATATAATACGCATGTGCACGCCATCAGCCTTCTCACAGGTTCGCGGTTTTAAAGTTTACCTATAAGAGTTTTCTGTTGGAGCGTTGTCGGGTTAGCGGCCCGTTAATAACTAATGATCATTTTGACGGAAGTGAATCAATCAAAACTAACTTTAGCTGGACAATAACTTTATTCTAGAGTCATAAAGCCAAAACAACCTCTTACTTTAAAGGGTTAGTTCACCCAAAAATGAAAATGAAGTCATTAATTACTCACCCCCATGCTGTTCCAACCCCGTAAGACCTTCGTTCATCTTCGGAACACAAATAAAGATATTTTTGATTGAATCTGAGGGCTGGATCACTCTTCCATAGGCTTCCTAAGGGACTGGCTCTTGACAGCCCATAAAGTCATTAAAGAAAAGGTTTAAATATTCCATGTGCCTACAGCGGCTCATTTATAAGTTCATCAAGCGACGAGACTACTTTTTGTGCGAAAAAAACATAAATAACAACTTTATTCCACTATTCCATTACTTCCTTATGGGCGCATGCGCGAGAACTGAGACGAGGACGTTCTCATTCGTCTACTTCTTGTTACCGGCTGCTCACCGCTGAGGAGTATTACCGCGAACTAACCCTTTAATTTCCTATTATCACTGTAAAGCAGCTTTTGGACAATCTACATTGTTAAAGTGCTTTCTAAATGAAGACTTGACACAAGACTGGATCGTTCCATCTCGTATAGTGTGTCATAGTGGGCAACAACCGAAGTCACGTCTGCGATGGTTCATGACATCATATAAAAATACTAGCATGTTTATTTTTTTCGGTCCTCCACTGTGGTTTCTCTCACGAGTGTGTGGGTGTGTGTGACTGGTTGGAAAGCAGCATGTAGTCAGACATGTTTCTTGCCCACGGCAAGATTTTAGTCCAAATCGCATAATCTGGCACTCTAATAAAGAGCGATTTATTTTTTTTATTTATTTATTTTTTTTTTTTTTGGTGATTATAACACTTTCTTCTGTGTGTGTGTGTAACAGTGCGATTATGTGAACGTTCCCACCACTGTCTTCACTCCTATGGAATACGGCAGCTGTGGTCACGCAGAGGAGAAGGCCGTGGAGATCTACGGACAGGAGAACCTCGAGGTGTGTGTGTGTGTGTGCGCTCGGGCGGGGAACATGAGTAGTGTGTGTGCTGGTAATTGTTGTAATAATGCTTGCGTGTCTGTGCAGGTTTATCACAGCCTGTTCTGGCCTCTGGAGTTCACCGTTCCCAACCGAGACAACAACAAGTGCTACGCCAAGATCATCTGCAATAAACTCGACAGTGTAAGACGCGCGTGACGGCCAGCGTCCGCTAGCAATGTTGATGTCAAGTCAAGATCAGACATTTGATTATACAATTCTACACTTTACAATAAGGTCTAATTTATTGTTCTTAACAAACAGCACTGGGAGAAGCACTTCATTGTTAGTTGTTGTTACCTAAAACTGTTGTAATGGAAATAAAGCTGAAATAAAATATAAAGATTAGATCAAAAACTTAAAATAAACAATTGTTGCCTTGGAAGCTAGTTGAAATTAGGAAATAGGGTCAAGTTGAAGTACTTAAATTACTAAAACTAAACTTAAAATGACAACTCAAAATAGAAATAAATAAAAGCTCATTGAAAAATGAATGTTGTAATAATTAAAAATAGATACTAAAATGAGGCTGGAAGCTTGTTTCTGCCACAAAATAAAAAAGGTTGTGACTTGACGTGTTAACTTCTCATTTTTAATTCCCTTATTTATTTATTTTTTTTTTTGTCTCGCAATTTTGGGTTGTAAAGTAAAAATAAAGTTCAAGGAAAAAAATTTTTTTTTTAAGACTTGATTTCTTTCTTTTTTTTTTTTCCTCTCTGGTGGAAACAAGCTTCGATAAATAACTGGCTTCCACAGAATTTCTTAATTTCAATATTTACCAATACCTTTTAAGAATAAAAAGTTGCACAATGTGAACAAACAATGAACAATTGCATTCCAACAGCAGATTTGTGTGTTCTGTTAGAAACGAATATAAAAAGTGCTTCTCCATTTTGGAAATGAAATGAAGAAAAAAAAAGTATCAAGCAGTGACTTGATTTCTATTAAGGAATTTTTTTTGAATGAAAAGCATTTGATTGCATTCTATCAGTATTAGAGATGTGATCCTGTAACCCGTGTGTGTGTGTGTTTGCAGGACCGTGTGATTGGCTTTCACTATCTGGGTCCTAATGCTGGAGAGGTCACACAGGGCTTCGGAGCCGCTATGAAGTGTGGGATTACCAAAGACCAGCTGGACCACACCATCGGGATTCACCCCACCTGTGCTGAGGTGCGTTTCCTTTCACTCCTCCTTAAAGTGGATCTGTTACGCCCTTCTCTGCTAGAACAGGTTTTCCTGCTTGAATGTTGATTATTCTCCTCATAAGCCATGTTTCCATCAAAACGTTTTTATCCAAATTAAGTGATATCGAATGAAAAATGCCTTATGGAAACAGTAAAAGTCGATGAAATTTCATGAAAATCGACTCAAATGAAATGCGTTCGGTCTCATCGGATTTTATCTTGATCGATATACGGCTAATGCGATAAAAGCTGATGGAAATGTTATTTGCCCAATAAATAATGAATTGCGATTAAGTTTTAGGCCCTTTTATGGTTGCAAGACGCCAGAAGACGAGTTCATTTCCGGCCAGTATGTCATCAAAGACAGATGTAAGTGGACAAAGCAAAAAAAAAACAAAGGGTTTCCGTGAACCACGATCTCCCAGAACTGATGGAGCGCTGACGTTCCCACGCCACAGTCACCTCCGCTGTCGTCGGGCATTAACGGGCATCGCATCATCATAGCAATGTTTATAGCGTCGTTGTTTTCTTAGGTATAAGCAATACTCCTTTTTAAATCAATAAACTCATTTTTAAGTCAATATTTTGAGTCAAATTATTGATTTATTTATTTGGTTGATGAGCAGGATAATATATAGCGAGGCGGTTGTTATAGCGAATACATCCCCTTCAACAACCGCCTCGCATGCATTATCCCATTCATATGTCGCTATCAGCTGGCACATAAGCATTATTAGCCTTCAACTTGTGTAATATCGATCATTTGTTGGTAGATGGCGCGATCCGTTTTCTCTAACAAAACTTTGTTCGCGAAAGTTTGCTTGAATGTTGTTCGATTCAGTGCGAAAATGAATGGAAACGCCTTAAAATGTCTCAATTTGATCGCAAAACAGCATGTGATGTCATCACGTACAGGTTTTTATTCGCTTTAAAGCCGTTGGGTAAAAACACACTTTCACCAGCTTTATCCGCATGAGTTTTTTTTAACCGAACTTCAGATAATTCGATTGACAAGTGGATGGAAACATGGCTATATTCTCCATTGTTGCGGCTCCTCTCTTCCCAGTCTGTCAGTAACGCTCTGTTCACTTCCTTCTGAAAAGCACACTGTGCTCTGATTGGTCGGCTTGACGGTGTGTTGTGATTGGTCGAGCGTTTCGAGTGTGTCTGGTTCGCTCTCACCATAACCGCCAGTTTAACACACTACTAACTTACTCAACCAGGCCCCGCCCCTTTATTCTGCGCATGAATTATTATAATGAGGAATATTGTGCAACATTACACACTAAAGAAAGATGAACATTGAGGCGGTTTACTCATTTGATGTTCTTAACATGTCCTCCCTTCATTTGTTTCAGATATTCACCACGATGGAGGTCACCAAAAGCTCTGGCGGTGACATCACTCAGTCGGGCTGCTGAGGTTAAACCCTGCTGGTTTAACAGGCTGTCAGGACCAGTTTAGACTGGTGTTTTATCCCTCTCACCCTCGAGTCTCCGAATCTAGAGGTACAACATCATGATGTTTCACTGCTTACAGAAGGCTTTTGTGTCTGCCGTTCCCTTGTGTCACGTGCTGGAAGGGGCGGAGCCATCAGACACGACGGCCTTTGGAGGCGGGGCTTCACTTGTTGAAGAGACCGATGATTGGGAGAGGGATATTGATTGACAGCCTGTTAGACGGCGGGGTTACTCTGCACAAAATCACCGTCCGAGTCAGAAATGCACCAAATGCGCTTGTGGTTTCTTTTCACACACATGCGCAGGTGGTGCTCCGTGATGTCATAACCCCTAACCCACGCTCAGTGGCGGGTTACGACTGATGTTTTCTGCACTTGGTCTTTAAATGGGAATCCATGTTATTATCATGCGCTCTGGACACTTTCCTTTCGTTTGGTTGTAGAAGACTCATTTTCTATATTTAATAGTCATCAATTGCTCGTCAGGATTCTAGTAGCGGGATTTCACTTCCCGCTCTCATTATTATTATTATTATTATTATTATTCTCTGATTTAGTGGTCGAGTAACAGAGATGTGATCGAAGCGCAAACCAAATGCAGCATGTAGATGCTTCCTCGTGAAAGTATTTAACGGGCGTCACCAAGATGAAACACAAACTCATTTGTAGTTTGTGATGCCTGTTAAAGCACCTAGAAATATCAATAAAATGTGTATGTTCATATTTTTATAAATGTGTATATATATATATCTTTACATCACTGGATTACATGTGTCTGGAGGATTCATTCACAAAGAAATGCATGATGTTTGCTGTTTATTTGCTTTATTCACTCCATACATCTGTCACTCAGCTCCTGTTAAATGTACATGTTTAATTCTGTTCATGGACTTTAATAAAACTGCACAACCTAAATTTCTCACAGGTGTGTAATTTATCGAACACATGCGCTTTAACTAACATTCAAAATATGTGTTCTGCTTGAAAGGGAGTGCAATTAAATGCATAATTTATATTATTTAAATTATAATGAATATGCCCATTGAATATATGTTGATCAGAATATATAGACGATTTGTGATAGTTTAGTTAATTTCATATTAGTTATTGTTTCCAGGGATTTCATTAATGGATAATATCTAAAAGCAGCTTTGAGAGGATTTGCTAAAATTAAAAGCTTGTTTTATCTAATAACATTTAGTGCAATTCAGCAAAAGGAGGAACTGTTTTAAGAAAACAGATGCATTTGTTCTTGTTTCTTTAGAGTCCAAAAACTTTATTGGTCTCAAACTGCAGCTTTTATTGTTTTTAGATGATAATTGGATTGATGTGTCTGGATTGAATGAATGCCCCTGATTGGCTGGAATCTCCTTATAAACAGGAAAAGCTCCATTTCCCTCAACAGGAATCGGCCGTTCCGGACAGGATCTGTTCAGGCCACTTACACTACAAACACGACACTCACTTTCTAGTTTTCGCTTGATTCATTCGGTATAAAAGTGAGTTTAGACAGCTCGTTCTTTTGATGACAGTGCATGAATATTCACACGCATGCATTGGAAAAACTCATTTAGACCAACACACACATACACACACCTGTTCCTGTGAAGTGCGGGTGTATTCATCCGAGACAAAAAACACCACAGACTGAAAAACTGAGGATAAAACACCTCATTTTCATGCGATCCATTCAGTGAGGGAATAATCACAGACCGACGGATCAAACACACCAGACCAGAGTGTGTGTGTGTGAATCTAGGAGAGAGTTGGTGCCTTATTGTCTTTGGTTTTATATAATGGTGCTCATTAAAACCAGCCTGCTGTGCAAACGCGAGATGTTTCACCAAACACCAAACACTGACCAGGAACAGATGACGGTAATCAATCACTGTGGCAACAGGAAACAGGCGATGCCGAACGGAAAATACACTTCAAAATAAAAGTCCAAATACCACAAACTAAACGCAAAACCAAGGAACATGTAACGGATATATTACTTAATTTTCTGTAGCCCTCAATCGGGTCATGGGGTCTATACGACCCCAATCGACTTTTACTTAATAAAAAAAAGATTTTGTAACTTTTAGTAATCTATCTAACTGGGCTTGTTCTGAAGGTATATAAAAAAATGTTTACACTTCCGGTCTTCGGGGTCAATATGACCCCACATTGAAATGAATGGGAAATGTGGGGAAAAAATGTTTTCTTCATGTGTCAGAAAAAAACAAAATCCGACATAAATCTGAACATTTTTACACAGAAAAGAAGGCCTAGTACTAGAGCATAAATGCAATGTATCATAAAAAAAAAAATATTTCATATGCAAGCTAATGGTGTAGTTGTAACACAGCATTAATGAATAGATGAGAAGTAAAAAATAAAAATAAAAAATGATATTATTTGAATGATTAAAAATGTATATTTTTTTGTACAATTACTCAATCCCCGAAGTCCATAAGGAAGCAAAGCCCATTTGAAGGTTAAAAACGCATTAATATTCTATATTTGTGTCTGAACTATTTATGTGGAGAAACAACCTCATGTCATATTTGGGTTTTTATTGCCCATGATGATAAATAAGAAAGGTTCAAATAAATAGGTAAACAGATAATTTAGGTATAAATTAATAAAACGTTATTCAAATATTTATTAATATTAAATATTCAATATGGATGTGTTTCTCCAGCACGAGATCAAACTTGGTTTAGTCACAGGACAAAGTTAGACTATGGTAAAAATATGAGAATTGTGTAAATTATGAATGCAAGATAGCTTCAGTGGTTTCAGACTTGTATTTGTCACTGTTTGTACTGTAGTTGTGCAATGAAAGTGATTAAACACTGAGTAATTCCTGTCATTGTGATCCCATTGCAAACATGTTCCCAGGAAAACTCATAAACTGTGATCAATACGCACACACACACGGTCACAGTGAGTTGGCACTTTAATTCTTTGGTTTAAATAGTTATAAACCTTATAACGTTAGTAAGATTTGCCAAGCTAAAAGAGACAAATAAAAATGTAAGATGAATTTGAATTAATTTGGGGTTAAGAAAATGTAACTAGCTTTTTTTAACTTCTTATTAACTGCCTATTAAAAATAAAAATATTTCCCATAATCGGATAAGTGATGAAGGGGTTGCTTTTTTATAATCATTCTTTATTCTGTAAAATTCTTGAACGGATATTCTTCTGTACATTGTGTTCATACATCAATGTACTTGTCAATACATTTCTTAAACATTTAGCATAAGGAAAGAAAAAAAAACATCCTGAGCAAACCCAGGCGCTGAATCTCATTAACTAAGATAAAGGTGATGCACTAGAGCCCCCTGCTGGTCAACAGTGATATTACATATGTTCATATATAGATATTTAAACATTTATTTAATTAATTAAATTATTATACAAGCTAGATTACAGAAAATGTCTACGTGTTTTACAAGGACTTCAATTAAATGCCAATTTTTTTATTAATGAGTCGTTTATTAATTGCAGTTAGCAGTGCGCCGCCTGTCGGTTTTTACATGTATCGCATATGATGAACCCGCATCAGCCTTTCCTCTGGATTAGTTCTACTGTTAAACTGACTTCCGTTTAATGTCCCTTCTAGCGAATCAGTTCTGCTGTTCAGAGTCACATGACCTGTGACGTGTGTGCACCGCGGAAGAGAGAGAGGTCCAGCGGTGAGATGGAGGAGAATCTCACATGAGTTATTAATCATCAAAGTTTAATGAAATAATCGGATGATCAGATGTAATCTCTACCAGGATGCCGCTGTGGACTCAGAATAAGCGAGTAGAGCGCGTGAACTCAACCGCAGAACTCTTCAGCAAATACCCGCATCTGAAGGTACAAACATAGTAATCTGATAGCCAATTTAATATTTGAAGTAATATAATATGGCAGTGTGTATGCAGAAACTATGATACATAGACCCTCTTTCACTTTATATTTAAAAAATTACTCGAGTACACAGGTACAAAGGTAGAAATCCTTAAAAGTACAATAATACAACCTCAAATATACTTTATAATGTGTATGTATATACACATGATTTTACAGCTTTTATATATGATTAAAATAATAAGAGCATATATATGAAGAGATGCAAAAGCCTCTAAATGCCATTTGAAATTTTCTTCTTGAATGATTATTTTTATCAAACTTGTATATTTAAGTTCAGTAATTTCACTTAAATAACAATTAATAGGTAATTATCATTGCCATTTAAGTGAAATTACTGAACTTAAATATACAAGCTTGACAAAAATGATCATTCTAGAAGAAAATTTCAAATGGCACTTAGAGGCTTTTGCATCTGAACTCTTCATATATATATATATGTATTGCTCTTATTATTTTTGCATGCAACCTAATCATGAGCTCATATACAGACTACATGTAATGTTGTTATGAATTTATTTTCCACTCAGCAGCACTATTGAAGTGTATTGCAAAAATGTATAATAATAAATAAAATTTAAAAAGGTTCAAACTTGAATTCTTACATGCATCTTGTTGTTAAAAACATTACTTTTTAGCATTAACGTGTGTTTCTCTCTTAGGAAAGTGCGCAGGAGTTTGTGTGCCGAAGCCCGGAGCCCGTGGACCCTGAGCAGCTCCTGTACGTCCAGCAGAGAGAGTTTGCGTCCACGACTCCAGCGGACAGTGAGTGTGTGTGTGATGAGCGAATGACATCTGTCAATCAAACAGACCCTGAGGTTTCTCTTTCCTCAGATTCGGTCTCCATCCTGGGCTCTGATGATGCCACGACATGCCATTTAGTCGTTCTCCGACACACAGGTGACACGAAACCGTCTTCAAATCCATACCTGATGTCGTTTCACTGCATGTGCGGGTGTGTGATCCTGTGTTTCCTCTGTTCTGAAGGCAGCGGAGCGACTTGCCTTGCACACTGTGATGGGTCCAGCACATGGACTGAAGTTCCTCTGATAGTCAATGCCGTCACTTCTAAAAGCAACCCGGATAAAGACGGCAGGTGCTGTAGATCTTCACGCATCACTCGGCTCTAATGGGGTTTTCACATGTATAATGACTTTTAGGAGTGTGTGTGTGTGTGTGTTTTCAGACTGGAGCTGCATCTTGTCGGGGGTTTCGATGACGACAAGAAGACCTCTCACTCGCTCAGCCTTAGTATTCTGGGTACGTGTGTACAAGTGTGTGATGAAGGCGAAACGCTCAGTGTGAGATCCGAATATGAGAGTGTTTTGATTTGCAGCTGCCTTTCAGAAGCAGAAGGAAGACGTTCACCTGGAGACGTGCTGCATCACAGGTCGGACTCCTGGGAAAATTCTTACATATAACCCCTTTTAAAGTGACAGTTCACCCTTAAAATGTAAACCTGTGTACCACAAAAAACAAAATCATTTGATGAAACCTCAGCAAACCACATCAAAAAAAAAAAAAAAAACCACTGGAAAAGCAGTCATTACAATTCATTTATTATATTCCAAATCAGGAGGTTAAATTATGCTTTATGAGAGGAACTTAAAATAAATACTTGACTGTACATTTGCACATTGTGTTTGATGCAGTTGTTGAGTGTGTTCTTCAGCTGATGTAAGACTTCAGGAAACTCTGAATAATGAATAACTGTGTTTGTTCAGACATGAACGACGCGGTCCGAGACGGGGTTCATCGGCCAGTGGTGTACGGGATCGGTAATATCAGCTCTCTGTTATCTGAAGTGTGCATTTACATTATCAATTACAAGGATGATGCACAAAAATATTAAATACCCTAATAAAAAGGCATATTTTCAATGTCCTCACCAGTTTCACTCAACAACAAACATAAAGTGTGACCAGTGCGGTCAAATTGTGATAAATATTGTGATTGCAGTTTATTTGATTTTTTAAAGCTGTGCTAGTTTAGCCAAAATTTGTGTGATGACATTACTTGGGCAATAAAATAATAATAATTATGATTAGATTTATAACTATATATTATTTCTCTATAAAATAAAGTATTTATTTAAAAAAATATTTGTTTATTATTATTTATTTTAATAATAAAATAAAGTACAATATATCACAATAAAACTGTATAATTTCTTAATTTTCAAATGTTAAACTATCAAGCTTTTAGTTGTGTAATCCAGCAGTTTATAAGCGTTTCTCGTTGAGTTATTGCATGAATCCTGTTTCTGTCTGATCGCAGGGGTGAACGTTAAGACCGGTCACGTGTTTCCAGCCTCGTTTGCGTGTCGAGGGCCGGCGGAGGAGCTCAGGTCCGCTCGCAGCTTCTCTGGAGGACCGGTACACACTTTCACATGTAGCGCTCATTACATAAATATCTGACTATTGACCAATCAGATCCGAGTAGCCGAACTGATGGCCTGGATAATATAGTCATAATAATCATACACTGTTTGTAATGGCCATCATTTCACCGTCTAGGTTAACTATAGATCCGATATAGTCCGGCTTTGAGTAACACACTTCTCATCAAAATAACCCTGAATTTGCGCACATGTAGTTTTTTCGCAAAATAACTTTAGATATTTCATCATGTACGCAAAGTCAACAGTGATTACAAGGTGTTCGGTTTCATTTCTTCACTCATTTGTTTGTTATCTAATTGATGACTAGTCTATTCTTGGGCGATGGTTTAAACATCTATTAAATTTACCCCCGTTTTGCCTAGTTTTAGCCTAGACGTCTGAGCTGAGTTTGGACGGCTATTAGACGTCTTTTAAAAGTAAAATTGCCTGTTGGGATTTTTTTTTCTCTATTGTCATTGTCGCCTTTTTCGCCTTTGGCTTTTGTTTTGCTTAGTTGGGGACATTTAAAGGAGTAGTTCACTTTAAAAAAACTTTTGCTGATAATTTACTCGCCCCCATGTCATCCAAGATGTCCACGTCTTTCTTTCTACGGTCGAAAAGAAATTAAGGTTTTTGATGAAAACATTCCAGGATTTTTCTCCATATAATGGACTTCAATGGGAACCAAACGGAGAGTTTCAGTGCAAACTGTTCAAAGGGCTTTAAACGACACCAGACGATGAATAAGGGTCTTATCAAGCGAAACGATCGCTCATTTAATAAATAAATAACAAAGTTTAAGTTTTATAAGCTCAAATGCTCGCCTTGCTCTGTTCTGCGTGTTCGTGACTCTCCTGTTCGATCTCATTCATCAAAATGAACGAACATTTTTTGATTGAACGAAATGACTCAAAAAAAGATTTGTTCGTTTTGATGAACGAGTTAGAAGCATTTGTGCTTAAACTTTGTTATTTATTTATTAAATGAGCGATCGTTTTGCTTGATAAGACCCTTATTCATCGTCTGGAATCGTTTAAAGCCCTTTGAACAGTTTGCACTGAAACTCTCATTTGGACCTTGAACCGTTTGGTTCCCATTGAAGTCCATTATATGGAGAAAAATCCTGGAATGTTTTCATCAAAAACCTTCATTTCTTTTCGACTGAAGAAAGAAAGACATGGACATCTTGGATGACATGAGGGAGAGTAAATTATCAGCAAAAGTTTGTTTTAAAGTGAACTACTCTTTTAAATTAATGTTCAACGATCTTATTGATCTGCTAGATTTACACCATTATATGAGAACTGATCTGAGCTGGACGATGACATCACGGTTTTCTCTCTATATATATATAAATTAACTAAAATAATAACTTTCTTACAACAAAAATGAACCATCACTGAACTTAAGCTGGACTGTGACGCGATTCTCTTCTAGAAACAAACTTTGTTGCATTATTTCCCGTTATCTCAGTAAAGCTGGATTGAAACACTCTGTCCTGTAGACAGTATAATTAAATGTGGTTGACTGTAACCGTTCTTGACAGATGGTTGACGTGTATGACTCCAGCCGAGAACTCGTGAGGATCGGCCCGTGCCGATGGACGCCGAACGAAGACATGGGCTTCTGGCTTTCTCAAGATGATGAAACCATCCTCCAGGTCTGAACGCCCTTCAGAGTATACACTTGAGGATCACATCTCATATATCAGGCTCTTTCCTGGTATACTTTAATTCAGACACTCAAACCGAGCAAAAATATGTAATTTGGTGCAGATGCTGATATCACTAAAATATCACTAACGATATTAAAGTTATTCTTGTTTTTACTGCATATTTGACATCAGGAAGACACGAGAATAGGGATGCACGATATATCGGCCACATTATCGATATCGGCCGATATATCATCATTTTTAATGTTATCGATATCGGCCCAACAAGAACGTTTAGCCGATATCTAAGAGCTGGTAAATAATGTATTATATCCTTCAGCTGAGGCACTTTAGATGTGCACTGTTCAACATGATGCTTTTAAATTGCTTGAAATACGATTGAAATCCCTTTAAAAAAGGAAAATCCAGTTAAAGTGCAAAATGTGCAGCGCAAGTCTGTCATATCGGCTACACAACATTAAAATAAGATCATAATAGTGTTTGTATCTTGGCTTCTAATGAGACTTTTTCTTTATAATCAGGCTCTCGAAAATGTTCAAAAAATGTGGATTCAAATTTATCGGCCAATATATCGGTTATCGGCTTTTAAATATGCGAATTAGCGGTTATCGTAACGGCCAAAATTGTCATATCGGTGCATCGCTACACGAGAATCTCGTATAATTATATTAAAAGACTTTTACTGTATTAAAAAGTCTAAAGGAGAAGTGTAGGAGAGTGTGTGTGAGAAGTTTATCGGATCATGTAGAAGTGATTAATGTTGCTTGATGTGTGTTCAGTCATTATTGAGATCTGCAGGATGAAAAGCGAAGCTAATTAACGTCTGTTTGTCCTTCAGTTTTTGTCCACGTCTCCGCGAGCAGAACCTCCTCACTTCATCCAGCACATCAAATCCACCATCCGGTTCCTCCTGGACCATCCCAGCGCAGACGAGCTGTTCCCCGGCGGACAGGCTCAGCTCTACCGCCGCTCGCAGGAGGGGGGGTGGGCGAGAGTCTGACCTTTGACCTCTGAGGAAGGGGTGAGAGTCTGACCTTTGACCTCTGAGGATGGAGTGAGAGTCTGACCTTTGACCTTTGGGGATGGGTGAGGGTCTGACCTTTGACCTCTGAGGATGGGGTGAGAGTCTGAACTTTGGGGATGGGTGAGAGTCTGACCTTTGACCTCTGAGGATGGGGTGAGGGTCTAACCTTTGACCTCTGAGGATGGGGTGAGAGTCTGACCTTTGACCTCTGAGGATAGGGTGAGAGTCTGACCTTTGACCTCTGAGGATAGGGTAAGAGTCTGACCTTTAACCCACTGAAACCCAGCCAAAGGCCTTTGAGTGTTCCAGCAGAAGCTCGTTCACACTGATCTGAAAGCTGCCGTTTATCTGAAGAAGGTTTACTAATGCGCGTTTTTCAAAGACGGCCCTTAAATCGAGACAAGAGCCTGTTAACTCTTTTATTTCTATTTTATTTCATGTGTGCACATGCAGCATAAGACATGTGCTTTATTTTAAACTGATATGATGTCATGTTGTTTTATTCCTTATATCCAGCTTGGTCTCATTTGCTCTTTATGAATTCATTTTGGAAACTGTACTGTGTGTGTGTGTGTGTGTGTGTGTGTGTGTGTGTGTGTGTGTGTGTGTGTGAGACTTTTGTTGAGAAATAAGAGAATTCCGTTACCAGAGGAAACATGGTGTTTTGTATATATCCAGTCCTTTATGTAATAACAATGGAAATGTTCAATATATTCATCTTTAGGAAGAAAAAGAGAATGAAATGAGGGAATCTGTTTATTGACTGATAGGTGATGAAATGTTTGTCCAATATTAAAAATACTAATGTACAACATATCTGTATCCAAAATGCATGATTGGCTGTTTAACTTTAAACAATGAAAGCAATTTTTATATATATTTGAAAATAATTAACTCATTGTTTTAGGCAACATGAATATTATACTTCATGTATTATAAAATGTTACATGTAAAAATATAATTTATAATGGTAACACTTTAGGGTAGAGAAGTGTCCTACAAAATACCAATATTTCATTACAAAAAATTAATAAACAAAATTCTCCATGCACCTTTATGGCCAAGTTAATAATTAATTTACGTGGATAAAGTATTGCTCAAAGTTCGTTAATAAACATATTTTACACGGAAATAAAGCTATAGACTACAGAAGAACGACCAAGACGAGGTATGCGGATGAAATATTATATTTTGCTTCTTGTTCGATATGTTTTCTGTGTTTAAAAAAAATTTCCAAAAAGTGTATTTGGTTGCTGCATAAGCTTTTGTTCAGCATAGATTCACTTTTGCATCTTTCCTACACATTTTTTTGTCATATAATGATAATGGGGGAAAATATTTAATGAAATTAGTGTTAATATGTGTTAGTGTGACATGAAATGGCTGTGTATTAAGTTCAGTTTTCTTGTTATCAATTTCATGAAGAGCTAAAACCTCTTCACACACTGACATCATGGGTGCTGCACCTTCTAAAGGTCGGTCAATTTATTTCAACAATTAAATAATTTGATTAGACACCTAGCATATTTATTAGAAGAGAGTCATGGTGTGATTTCTTTCCTCAAGAGAACGAACCGATTGAGAAAAAGGAAAAACCATTTTGTGAAAGTGAGGTCTTTTCGCAGAACAATATTCATAACTGTGAGTATTTTCCACCTATTCAGCTGCTCTCTCAATCACTAAAGCACTGATTATTATTAGTGTTATTCTCTTTCACAGTGGGAAATGACAGAGAAGAGAAGACGCAGAGAGTTTGCATTGAACTCCACAGATGTGTGCTGATGTTGATGGTTGTGGTTGGGGCTCTTATCGGCTCAGTTGTTGGAGCTCAAGCTGGAGTTTCGGGATCTTGCAAGGGAATGATCTCCGGAGTTCTTGTAGGGATTATACTTTCAAAATTGATGTCAATAACTCATGGCAACATATGATTTTACACTACTTTTACTCTTAAAATAAGCAGTTTCAAGGTCTTATAGGCACACTGTTAACAAACATTTTCATGATTTGTTATCACAACTTTTTTTCTTTAATAATTAATATGGTTTACTGTAGATAACATCATATTTTGAATCCCATTGTATTAACTATAAATTATGAGGCAACCAGGTCATTTACTTTTTTAAGTTAAAAAAACAACATTTTCTTACTAGCCAAGTTAGCTGTACTTAACAATGTAAGGCAGCAACTGAACTTACGTTTATTTTTTACACTGTGTACACACTGTGTACGCTTTTATCTAACCTTAAGCAAAACATTTACACCGTACGCTAGAAAGTTGATCAGATACAGGCTGGTACAGACATTAGCGCGGACAGTCCAGAATAGTATTTTATAATGTTATTAAAGGAGTAGTTCCCTTTTGCTGATAATTTACTCGCCCCCATGTCATCCAAGATGTCCACTTCTTTCTTTCTTCAATCGAAAAGAAATTAAGGGTTTTGATGAAAACATTCCAGGATTTTATCCATATAATGGACTTCAATGGGAACCAAACGATTCAAGGTCCAAATGAGAGTTTCAGTGCAAACTGTTCAAAGGGCTTTAAACGATTTCAGACAATGAATAAGGGACTTATCTAGGACCCTTCGAGTCATGACTTGAACAAAGATTTGTTCATTTTGATAAACGAGTTCGAACAGGAGAGTCACGAACGCGCGTCACAGAACAGAGCAAGGCGAGCATTTGTGCTTATAAAACTTAAACTTTTTTATTTATTTTTAAATGAGCGATCGTTTCGCTTGATAAGATCCTTATTCATCGTCTGGAATCGTTTAAAGCCCTTTGAAGCTGCACTGAAACATTTGGACCTCATTTGGACCTTGAACCGTTTGGTCCCCATTGAAGTCCATTATATGGCGAAAAATCCTGGAATGTTTTCATCAAAAACCTCATCAAAATTTCTTTTTGACTGAAGAAAGAAAGACATGGACATCTTGAATGACATGGGCGTGAGTAAATCAGCAAAATTGTTTTTTTTTTTTTTTTAACGTGAACTACTCCTTTAAGTTACAGGCGTAATGGGGACAGACAAATTTTGCCTTGACGGCCATTGCGCGTCTTTTAAACGCAAAATTGCAGTGGAAAGTTCTGTGGCAGTCAACGATGAAACACCAGAAACAACAGGCGATTAATGTCATCATGGATGAACAGAAAGAATGGAGATGTGAGTTGATTGATTCAGTAAATCAGGTCAGGATCATCATATTTTCTCTCTACACCTGTTGATGTTAGCCTTATGTTGACTGAGCTAACACTGTTAGCATACACTGCTGCTATGTAACTTCAGACTGTTAGCTAAATATTTCATGTGGAACATTCTGTGTATGTTACTAAAAACACATGAAAACGAGTCCTCTTTAAACCGCAGCATTTTCTGTCAGCAATGTACTGTCAATAGTAACGCTATGCGATTAGTTTTAACCAGCTTTAATGTGTTAAAATATATGCAGCGGAATTAGCGCAGACACACACTGTAAGTTCACTTACTTAAAAAAAGAGCGAAACCAGTTGCCTTAAAAGTATTAAGTAAATAAACTTCATGCCCAATCAAAAAAAAAAAAAGCAATTGTAAATTTCACATTACTATTTTTTTCAATTAAGCATTAAGTGTACTTATTATTTTTTTTTAAATGAACTGAAAACTTTTTAAGGTGCAGGTAAATGTGACATTGATTATGGGTTTATGTAAGATTTGTTTTCAGTTCACTTATTAAAAGTTGTTCTATTTTTTGAAGCCTATGTTTAAAATTTGAGTGGATATAATTTTCAAAATCAGTGATACTGGCCTTCATTCATAAAAATATGCCATTAAACAATTATTTAAAATACATTGTCTTTATGTTGTTTATACATTACAGTTGAAATTGAGTCTCACATTTTTAAAATTTTATTTACACACAGAACAATAACATTTTTGACTTTTTTGACTTTATGTCAAAAAATACATTTTTGACTTTATGAAATGATTCTCTCAAGCCCTGGCGATCAACCCCAATTAAACAATAAAGTAAGACATCTTTTTCTTATACAAAGCTTAGTAGCCTACTATTATTTTTGTCAGAATTTATCATTATAATCAAATTATTTCCTGGATTTTGTATCACCATAGTCCCTAAATGTATGTAAATGCAGGAAATGTGATTCAAATCAAAAACCTTCATTTTGTCCTCCACTAAAGTAATGCAATTAGTTACTTTTTAGGGAGTAACACAATGTTTTTTAGGGTGTAACACAACGTTGTAATGCACTACTACTTTTAAAAGTAACTTTCCACAACACTGGCACTGATGTTTTCTTGAAAACTGCGAGGGATAATTTGAACAACGTTGACTCTGGAAAACTGAAACCTGAAAAACGGGAGGAAAGACAGCTATAATGAGAGAACAGAAATAAAATACTTTTACTACACTAATTTACACTCCTGAAGGAAATTTTTGCATATGATAGAAGCTCTGCCTCTTTGGTTCTTCCATCATTTCTGTGGGAATAACACATTTAATCAGCTATGATGTCAACATTAGCGAATTAGATGTCAAAGATGTGAGGAAGCTAAACAAGTGTTTGCTATAGATTTTGTGCTGTTGTTGATGGATTTTCTTGAGCACACGTTAATATGCTACACTCGTAATGTTTTTCTTATATCCTGGATCTTACTTCTTGCAGGTGATTTTTTTACACAGCATTTAATTATGTTTCTCATGGATAAATGACTGTATAAGCACTATGTAAATACAATTTATTTGAAGTAAATCATTTTTGTTGTTTAGGATTTTATGTATAGGTTAAGAAGTCTGAGACTCATGGCCCAGTAAGCAAATACTGTAAATTTTGGGAAATATATTGACATTTAATGGTTTTTCATTGTAGTTTTATAGTAAATCATTCGTAGACACTCATATGTCATAAACGATGTGAGGCCATTTTCCACCTGCAACAGTTTACTGATAAAACAAGCTGGTTAAAGTGATCATTCATGGATACGGAGAGATGAAATACAATTGATTCACAGTCATTTATTGCATTTTATAAATGACTTCCAAACCCTTTTCAGCCCTTAAAAACAAAAAGGGCTGAAAATATGTCGTTTTTACGCTTATAGGCTAATATTTTACTGGGATTTAACTGTGAAGAACACAAGAACAATAAAAAAAACTTTGATTAATTATAATGGTTTCTATATAAATGATTTTTTTGTATGATGTAATGCGTGATTATTATAAAAACAATGATCAAAATGTTATTTTAGAATAGTTTATATATTGAGTATGATTGTCACTCAGAAGAAAGTATGTAATATCAAGTAACCAGACACACAGAAATCACAAATTTTGCAATCTTTATGTATTAAAGTTGTTTTCAGTCTGTATTTATTTGCAATAGCTGAGATTTGAGAAAGTGTCTGGATTTTTTCAAACATGAGACCACAAACATTAGATCACGCCACCAGAGCCCGCATGCGCCTTATGTGCAAACTATAATCAAATATTAATTTTACCTGGGTAAGGTGCTGTTCAAAGTTCATACACAACACCATAAACGGCATAACTGAAAGTACTTTCACACGGATGTAAAGGTACAAAAAAACAACCAACAAGCAATGCGAGGTAGGTCGATACAATATTACATTTTGCTTATTGCTTGATATGTTTTCTGTGCTTGCATGAAAAACTATTTAAGTGTATTCTGCTGTTGAATAAGGTTTTGTTCAGCGTTGAAGCTTAAATGAGAAAACAGGACTTGATCTTCAAATTTTCCCCAAGTTTTCTTCTTATGTCTGTTGATATAAGAAGTATTTTTTTTCATAACGTAAGCCAACCAGTGAAAGGATTTAGACTTTACAATTATAAACTTATAATAACTGTGGACTCAGAGCTAATAGACTAATGATAGCTTTATAATTTGCATATTACCTTTTTCTGAGCAATTGAAATAAACCTTCCCTGCATATTTTTTTTTTTTTTTACATATTTCCTCTGTAAAATTATGCAAAAATTTAGCATAAATAATTAGCCTACTTCAAAACGAATGTTATATCTTCTGATTAAATGATTAGGCATTGCTTAAAGGAACACACCAACTTTTTTGGACTTTAGCTTTTTCTTTTTTTAAGCGAACTCTCAGCTCCTCACCACGTCCACGGCGTCTCTGTGCTGCGCTAATCACTCCACCCTTCTGAGAATATAGTTCCCAGTATTTATACGGTTAAAAGATGGCTGTGTTTCATATGACCTTGTTATTTGTACTGTGACTATGCAAATCACAATATGTAAATAGGAAAATGTTGGCTTTATTTTGTCACCTTTTTGGGATTAGTATGCTAGCTGGAGTCATTTACATCCAGTCTTTGTGCTAAGCTAGGCTAGCGGGTGCGTCAGACAGAGTTACGGCGGCACGCACGGAGATGATAAATGTATGTATGGACTTATAACTCTGGGGATACAGTGAATAAGCTAAAGTCCCCAAAAGTCACCGTGTTCCTTTAATGTTTTAAAACAAGATTAAAATGGCTTTGGGAAATAATTGAAACTTCTAGAACAGACTGTGTGTTTTCTTATCAGTTTCCATGAAGAGCAAACACACCTTTACACAGAGATCATGGCTGATAAATCTCCTCAAGGTAGGTCAAACATTCTGTGCGTGTTTTCCAATGATCAAATGATTTAATTAGGGCTGTGCAAAAATTAATTGCGATTAATCTTATCCAAAATAAAAGTCTGTGTTTACATAATATATTTGTGTGTGCTGTATATAATTATTTTGTATATATAAATACCTATGCATGCATGATATTTAAGAATTATTTGCGCTTAAATTCTGTATGTATATATATATATATATATAAATACATAATCTATATTATATAAATATTTTATATAGGTATGAATAACACATTTTCTTAAATATATACATGCATGTGTGTGTATTTATATATACAAAATAATTATATACAGCACACACAAATATATTATGTAAACACAGACTTTTATTTTGGATGCAAATTTTTGCACAGCCCTAGATTTAATTTAACACCATTGTGGAATAATATTAATTTGTTGATTTGCTCTTTAAAGGAGGTTCGTCTGTAGAGTCAGAGCTCAGAATTGTGATTCTAGGAAACGCGGGAGACTGTAAGAATAAAGTGGTCAAATCAGTCCTGAACTGTGAGAATCTGACAGGAGTGAAAGTTGGTCAGTGTACGTTATATCAGCGAGATCAAGATGGAAGGAGGATCAGTGTTGTTGAAGCTCCAGGATGGGACAGATCCTCAAAACAACAAACACCAGAGAACATAAAAGAAGAAGTAAAGAGAAGCGTGTCTCTTTTTCCTCCAGGACCTCACGCTCTTCTTCTGGTCATCCCGGTGGAAACTCTCTCTAATGAACCTTCTACAAATGAAATCACAGCAGCACAAACTCAAATGAAGTTACTGTCTGAGTGCGTTTGGAAACACACCATCGTGCTCTTCGCTTGTGATGAAGGAATGGAGGACTCACAAATCAAAGAACACATTCGCAGCACAAAGAAAATCCTGGACAAGTGTGGAGGACGACACTATGTTCTTCAGAAGAGCGCTCAGAACCATCATGAACTTATAAAGAAGATAGACGACCTGGTGGAGGAGAACGGTGGTGATTTCTTCACACCACAAGCTGAACTGATTAAACTCGAGACACAAGAAGCGTCTGGTGAGAAAGAGCTCAGAAAGAGACGGGGAAGTATCGCAGATCCTCCTGACTGTGAGTATTACTTCACTAAACCTACATTTACTGAAGCCCTGGATGGATCTGGATCTATTAGTGTTATTTTCTTTTACAGTGAATAAAGACAAAGGAGATGCTGGTGTGGAGAAGAAAGGAACCACAGAGGCTGACAAACCTTTAGAAAACACATCGAAAATCTCCATGGAATCCACACAGTTTGTAGTGATATTGATGGGTGTATTTGGAGCTCTTATTGGTGCAGTTGCTGGAGCTGAAAATGGAGTTTCAGGGTCTGTCACTGGATTATTCTTTGGTATCATTGTAGCATTTTTACTTGCAAGTATCATCATGTACATTTACACTCGCATTTATTTACGCTCTTTAAAGAAACCAGCAGATAGTAGGGTGCATTCAGGTTGATTGGGACACATTTTGGTATTGGCTTTTTTTTTTTTTTTTTGTGAAAAATTTCCCAATCAACCTGAGCTCATCCAAACATTATAAACATCTGAATATTGAGCTTATAATATAGCCTATGTCTTTGTACACTTCACACTCCTGAATGAAACACTCCATACTAGGTGAGGGTGAATACAGGTAAAGTTTATTATTTCTTGGGATTTATATTTTAATGTTCCTTCATTACTAAACGCCAACATTCCTCAACACATTTAGACAGCTTTAGCAATTCAATGTGTCCCGTGACTCTCTTCTGTCTGTTGTTTTGTCTAATCCTGGACAATCCCTGCTCTCTTGGCCACATATCAGGCTCATAATTACATGAGGTCCATCATGGTAAACGTAAAGGCTACAATTTCCTCAGAGTCCGAACTGTCATTGCGATCCATTCACTCTTAAGAAAAGGTTCTATATAGAACCTTAAAAGGTTCTATCAGCGCTACGTATTTGGATCCCCTAAACGGTTCTATACACTATTAAAAAAAGGGTTCCTCTGGGTTCTATGTAGAACCCTGGGGTTCCATACTTGGTCAATAGAACCTTTTACCAAAAAAATGGTTCTATATAGAACCATTTTGGAGTTCCATATATGAAGCGGGGGATGGAACCATTTCTGGTTCTAAATAGAACCATTTTTTCTAAGAGTGTTGATTTCCCATTGTTTACTTTTTTTTTGTTTGTTTGTTTTCTACATAGACTTTTTTTTATTGAATACAAAAAAATACCGCACACCGCACTCACGTTATCTCACTTCTTGTTTGGCAGTTTTCAAATGTGTAAGTAAAAGTTTCTCACAAAAACGATGTTTACATTTATATCTACATTATTTTTTCTATACATTGCCTCACTACTCTGACCTGCAATAAACCCCATTTTAATGGATGGAAGAATGATTTTAAGTTATTTGTAAAATCTCTTTAATGGATGTTGGACAGATGAAACTTCTTTTTTGACAGCCTTGATCAAATCGCGTGCAGTTTCATTTCGATTAATCGTGCAGCCCTAGTTCAAAATGCCGCAGCACGGCACGGGACACCAGTTTTGATCTCGCTTTATTGGCTACAACATAATTTATTCGGTTTTACGGAGCAGACTATTGCTTCCATCCTCTCAATCAAGATCTCTTAGAATTTGTTACTAACTTAAAAATAGGGGGTATTTTATTTTTTATGTAACCTCGTTTTCTTGGCTTTTCTAAAGCACTTTGGTAAGCACCAGTTGTTTTTAAATGTGCTATATAAATAAAATTTTATTGTATTTGGTACTTTCTAGAGCTGTATCAACACGAAAACATAATGCATGATGTTGAATTATGCCATAATTGTGTGTACTTGAATTCTGTAAATAAAACTTTTTTTTCAAAAGTTGTCCATCTGGCCAAACAAAACACCATTTTTGTGATTATGATTACAGGATGCATCACAAGTCAGATTGTAGAATAATATCATATTTCATCCAGCTCCTGCTGCTTTAGGATCGATTACTGAAAAGTTCAAGATGAGTAACTTTCCCTGGGCCTGTTTGAAAAACATTGAGTATTAGCCTAGAAATCTAGACGCACCCTACCCTAGCGGCAGCAAAAATTATTTTGCAGCAAAGTGTGCTGACATCTTGATGTAGGTCTGGCATGCAAGGCTACATTTAGTCCAGTGCAGAGGTCAATTAGGTTGAAATAATTAGGTGATTATTTTAACTCAAAACAGTTAACGTTATAGCAGTTAAAAACAAGTTGCTACTTAACCAGCAACCAGCAAGATTATGTAAAAAAAAAAAAAAATAAACACAAGCCACTGTCCATAGTCGCAATTAAAGTTATGGTAACGCACACAGAAATCATGTTTTATAATATCATCATGTTTGTAGCATGATCAGGGGATTAAAACCATAGACTGTAAAAAAAAAATAGATTAAAACGTACAAAATATATTTCAGGCCTAGTGGAGTAGTGTTGCATACAATGGAAATACTCACTAACGCAAGAAAAAAAAAACTACCTCAAAAACTGTACTGTTGTCCAGTGGCGCCACCTAGTGGCTGTTACCATAGACTGTTACCAAAAAAAGCATCAGAATTTCGGTTTAGTGGGCCGCACAGCGCCTCATGTGGTTACCGGAAATACATTGCGCTGTGTCCCGGAAACACGCGGGGCAGAAACTGCTACTGGCGCGTAATCTCTGGACATTCGTGGGTGAGTTTATATACTTTTACTGAAGTTGTTTACGTAATTGAACTAGTTGTTTACTGTATGTGAGCGGTTGCAGCAGCGTCCTGCCATACGACATACTAAACTACACATGAAACTCTTTTGAATTATGTTTCTAAATCTTATATGTATACGCCATCATGGCTGCACATATAAATACATAATGATTAAATAACGTTTCAGGACTAAGACAACATGAAGTGCAACAATGTAAATACGAGTAAAGATGATAGACAGTGTGCTAAAGACAAATGTGTGCAATCTCTAGTTTTATGAGCTCATATTAATTTAAAAATAACACGGAATATTGTCATTGTAAACCACTCTGTCAAAATTCACCAAGTCACACTGCGGTGCTATTTACAATAAAACAAAGAAGGGTGTTAACATGGCAAAACACTTGCTGACCAATGACAGGGCCTAAAAATAAAATACTCTATACATTCATATATACATTCCTAGATCTTTAATGTGGGAAAAAGTTTTTAATGAATATAAAAAGGTCTGATTTGGTCGGTAACTGTATATTTATCTACTATAATGTTTGTTTGCTGTATATTTGTCCAACATACTTTTTTAGCATGTATTTATAATAATTGCAGTCAAATGTTAGTAATCTTCTGCACAGTATTAACTGAGATGTGCTGAATGTGTAGCAGGTGAAGATGAGCAAACGCAGATCCGCCGCTCTCACTGAAGCCCAGTGTGTGTCTCTGGTCCGTCTGTGTTTATTACACTCATGATTGGGTTTCTACAGATCGTTAGTGTTTAATCGTGTTTAATCGTGTTGTGATCGTGTGTTCAGGCTCAGAAGATCCTGAGAGAGAGACTGTGTCATCAGAAGCTGCCGGATCACCCCTCGGGTCTGGACTCACAGTACAAGTGTGTTCATTACACAATATCTGTGTGTGTGTGTGTGTGTGTGTGTGTGGATTCTAACACTGTGTGTGTGTGTGTGTGTGTGTTCAGGCACTTGCTGGAGCTGTTGAGACGCACTGCTGTTCATGGAGAGAGTAACTCTGTCCTCATCGTCGGTCCTCGAGGATCGGGTAAAACTATGGTACGACCCGTCTGAGATTTAAGGCTTGTTCACACCAAGATTTGATAATTGTGAAGTCCACACTACAACTGTAATGATAACGACACTGAGGCATGATATCGTGGGAATAATTTTCAGAGTGAATAATGTTTTTTCCAGCTGATGGAGGATAAAAACATTTCCAGCCAATCAGAATCCATCCTCCTTTAAAGGGATAGTTCACCCAAAGATGCAAACTCTGTCATGTTGTTTCAACCTCGTAAGACTTTGATTCATCTTCGGGACACAAATGAAGATATTTCTGATTAAATCTGAGAGCTGGATCACTCCTCCATAGGCTTCTATTGTAATTGAAACTTTCCGGACCAGAAAGTTATTAAAGACATCGTTAAAATAGTCTGATAGTCTGAATAGTGACTACAGTGGCTCAACCTTGCACGTGTGTGTGTGTGTGTGTGCAGCTGCTGGGTTGTGTCCTCAGAGAGCTCATGAGTCTGAAGGAAGTGCAGAAGAATGTCCTTCTAGTGGAGCTGAACGGTGAGTACGTGTGTGTGTGTGTTGTGTGTGTGTGTGTTCCTGCTGTTAGTGTGAGACCGACATCTTCACACACCGGTTCTCTGAGCGCAGGTCTTCTGCAGACGGACGACAAAATAGCCCTGAAGGAAATCACTCGCCAGCTGCACCTGGAGAACGTCGTAGGAGACAAAGTGTTTGTGAGTGTGACGGAAATAATTTACCCACAAACCAACGTTCTGTCATTATTTACTGAAAAAGAGCAGCTTTTCTTGTGTTTTAGGGGAGTTTTGCAGAGAATCTGGCTTTTCTTCTGGAAGCTCTCAAGAAAGGTGAGGCGTTGGTAATCGAAAATCAGTTCTGCAATCGGATACTTGCGACAAAATTAATATTCATATTTTGCTTATTGATTCCAATGTGCCCGTTTTAATGTGATTTTAAACCATTCAAGCGCAAGAAGAACTCAGAAAGCTTCATATTAATTTTTAAATATATCTTATAAACACTTTAAAGCCCGCTTTTCTGTGAGCTAAGAGTTTAATCGTACTTATTTGCTTTTGTAGCCTGGATTATTTCAACTTGTTATAAAAATAATCGTGTTTAACACGATTCTTGGGGAGAAAACTACATTACCCATGATGCAGTTCAGAATATTCCACCAATCAGAGTCGATATAAGAAAGAATGTGCCGCCTACTTAATCAAGTCGATCTCCTTATACTCTCAAGATACTTAAATATTTAAATAAATATGCATATTTTGAAATAAACGTATTGTTTTATTAATATAATGACTTGTATTATATATCTCCATAAGTTTTAATTCAATTTTGCTGTTCGTAATGCTTCATGGGATTGTTGTTCTGTCTGCAATATAATGTTTTGCAGAAAGACACAGAATAAATGTTTGACTTATTTTTTACCTAATTGGAATCTAAAATGGGAAAATAAGAAAATAATCGAAATTGAAAGGCAGAATCGGAAACTCTACAATTCAAATACCCGACCCTAATCAGTGTTACTGTAGTATAATTTATATACTGTTTTAATATTTTGAATTAGTTTTCTTATTAATTTTAGTTAATTAATTTAGTTATTTTTGTCATTTTTGTATTATTATTTTTTTTTATTTTCTATTCTATTTCTATTATTTTTAAGTTGAAGTTTTTGTCTTATTTTATTGTTGCTTTAATCTTTTAATTTATTTTATTTTAATATTTCTAATTTGAAATTGTTTTGTTTTCAGTAATTTTACTACTTAAACCTATTTAATTTTATTTAGCTGTCAAAGCAACATTTTTATTACTTTTCCATTTAGTTTAAGTTTTTCATCCATTATTAAAATTTGACCTGAGCTGTATTTTTTAAGTAATGAAATCGATTGAACCGTTGAATGTTTTGTGTGTGATTGTGTCAGGTGACCGGAGCAGCAGTCGTCCTGTGCTGTTCCTGCTGGATGAGTTTGATCTGTTCGCTCATCATAAGAACCAGACGCTGCTGTATAACCTGCTGGACGTGTCCCAGTCTGCGCAGACGCCCGTCGCTGTGGTGGGACTGACCTGCAGACTGGTGCGTACACACACACACGAGTCAACAACAAACTTAAAGGGACCGTTCACTTCAAAATAAAAGTTCTGTCATCATTTACTCACCCTCAAGTTGTTTCAAACCTGTATGAGTTTCTATCTTCTGTTGAACACAAAAGATGATTGATGAAAGA